AGTGCTGGGATTAAAGGCGTGCGCCACCACCGCCCGGCTAAAACATTTTAAATAACATATCCCATAGTTCTCTGAAGCATTTGAAGATCATCTATCTATCTAAAATATATTTATGTGTGACCTTGAAAATATACCTATATGACTATAAGTTTGATTATTGTAGATGACTAGCTATTAGCCTGTATTTCTTTATTGTCCTAAATAGGTTTCAAAGACTAGAACTTTACATGACATTTTTAAAGGAGCCGCATAGTTACAATACTGTTGATAGGAGGCCCAAAAGTCCAGCCACTGGCCACAATGAAAAGACTGTGTAGTATTTTACCCATCATTGTATAGATATCAACCAGCATTATTAGCACATGAAGCTCAACAAGAACCTAGCATTTTTTTTTGAGTGATACTGCTGACTGTACAAGTAAGGAATTAGATTTTTTTTTTACCTGAACTTAAAAGAAGTTCCAGTTGAGTTCCTAACATCTTTGGTAGACACAGATCTAAACAGTATTTCACTGTTTGCCTTGGTTATTAAGAACTACTTTGACCAAAGCCATATCCCTCCTTAGTCAGGTAAGTATGGGGGTATTTTAACAGCCTGACATTCCATATGGTTTTGACTGTACACACATTTCTCATCCAGCAAGTCACTTAGCCACCTAAGAGTATCTCTGCATGTACTATGTATATGGAAACCCCCTCCTCCAGTGAGCCCAAAATGTGAACAACGTAAGAATTCCTCTACCACACTGAACATATATCCAACTCTAAGCAATACAATGAGTTTCTCCACTTTTGACAGCCATCTAACACAGATAGTTTCTATTTAAATGTATTCTAAGTTATATCTGGATACAAGGGTAGGGACACCAATACCAGCCTAGACCAGTATTGGGTACACGTGCAACAAAGAAGACTGTGTCCCCTGAGTAAACTTTTAGAGAGAAAATGTTTTTGTCACAGCATGTCTATGTGTAATTTGATATGCATAAGATTAAAGTCAGAATTAGTTGCGTTATGGGAATGGATATGGTGATGTTTTGTGTCCCCAATATATTGTGCACCCTAATAAAGTTTATCTGAGGATCAGAGGAAAAAGCCAGCCACTATAGTAAACATAGAGGTCAGGCAATGGCAGCACAAGCCTTTAGTCTTATCACTTGGGAGGCAGAGGTCCGTCTAGATCTCTGTAAGTTCAAGCCACATTGGGAACAGAGCCAGACTTGGTGGTACATACCTTTAATCCCAGCACTAACCATAAAGGTCTGGAGATCTATACAGACAGACAGAAATTGACAGAGCTGGGTAGGAAGAGGAAGAGATGTAGCTGGGCAGAGAGAGGAAATGAGATGGCAGAACAGAAAGGCATAGAGGCATGGGTATACAGGAAGTAGGCCTCTTTGGAAACTAAGGTGTCAGTGAGGTGAGGTTGTCTATTGCTTGTCCTATTCCTCTAATATCTCAGTTTTTTACCCTAATATCTGACTCAAGGTTTTTTATTAAGATCGTTTAGCAATTCATCTTACAAATGGATATCCACATACATGATTACATAATCCCAGGCTGTCCTTCAAAAGAGAAAACCAACTGTTCCACACCTTTTAGAAACTCAACTTTTCTTTCTCTTGAACCCCATAAAAGAAAGTCCCAAACAATAACCAGGCACTTGAGCATTGTCACTCATGAGGCCCACTATTACTCTTGACAACATATATTTTGCAGATCACTGTTGTGGGATATTTTTACACTGTGTGAAAATGTATGGCTGTGATTGGTGTAATAAAGGGCTGAATGGCCAATACCTAGGCAGGAAGATGTTGCGTGGGAATTTGGGGGACAAAGGGGACTATGGGAAGAAGAAATGCAGAGTTGCCAGATAGACACAGAACAAGCGGGATGTGCAGGAGGAGAGGTGCCACTAGCCATGCAAGAGAATATAGATTAAAATAAATAGATCAATTTAAGTTATAAGAGCTAGTGGGACAAACCTAAGCTAGGCCAAGCTTTCATAATTACTAATAAATCTGTGTCATTGTGAGCTGGCAGCCCCAAAAAATCCAAATACAGATTTGATAGTCACTTTGATTTGAATAAAATTCCCTTATTATTTTGCCATCTGTCTGTACTTTTATTTAACTCTTAAGAAGACTCCAAGAACCAGGAAACACTGGCCCAAACCCCAGCCACTTTTTACATTCCCAGAAATCAACCTAATGACTATTTAGAGGTATAAAGATCCAGCCATCTCAGGTACTGCAGACAGTTGTGAACAGATTCCAGAGATAAGGCATGAGGATTTATTTACTCTACCTATAATCAATTTGCTTCTTTGCCAAGTTTTGTCCAACTCTGTGCTTCATGGGAGTTGCTGATCCCCAATAAAGAAGCTAAATGCCATACTTTCTATCAAAGGCCAAGATCTGTTTCTAGAAAGCCTGACCTGAAACAAATGCTACACAAGATTCTTAAAATAAACAACAGCATCCATAGGACTCTATACTGTCTACACTACAATGACCTTTACTTCTTTTATGAATGTAGGACAATAAAGAAACATTATATGCTTCTTAAAGACAAGAGTTTTATTATGTAGATAGAATGCTTTCAACATTTAACTGACTAACTCTATTGTTGTTTGCATCATTAATAGTTTCAGGATACACTGTGAAGACAAAGCATGTAAAGGACAAAAATTAACATTTTTCTCTGTAATATGGGTTCCCAGAATATAAAACAAATAATGTACACAATTTTTCAAAATAAAAAAGGAACAAGGAAGAATGTCCAAGTAACAACAATTAATAATCTGTCGCTGTTAAAGCTTTTAGTAATTATTTACCAACTGGCCTAAATTCTTTGGCTTTGTCTGTTTTAGCTGGAGAGATAATAATCCCCTTAATACAGCCTCATATGTCAATGTTTGCCTCTGCCTTTGAGTATTCAGCCCCAACTTGCCAATGCCCCCACGAGTCTGTGGAGCCTGTTGTAACAAGATCTGCTTTCAGAGACTCTCTTGATCACTCTAACAGTCGAATCCTGTTAATAGTAAACTAATATCTCGCTAGAAACAAAACAAAACAAAAACCAAGGAAACAAAAACTCCAACTGATTTT